TAGTACTCAATCATTATGTACTGGAATGCTTTTCAACGGTCATAAATCACTATAGCAAAACCATGATCCATTTCAAATATATAAATATTATAAACTAAGCAATTCAAAGTCCAACGGGCTACTTTACGTGGCGCTTGATGTCTCATCTGACAAGGGGAGAATTTGGATTTAAAAAAACAATGAATGTCCAAAATTATGGCAACCGTTATATATTAATAATAGGCTAATTTTACTGCAAAGTCCTTTTTTGTTTTTTTCTAGTACTCCTGTTTTTATTTTCTTAGATAATATCTTTATATTTATAATTTTATAAATATTCTTACCGTTTCCATTGTCGTCTTTGTCCTATTGCAAGACTGTATCGTCCAACGTTTTTTATTGTCTCTTCATTTTTTTTTTCTCAATTGATTTTTTTTAATTAGAGAAAAAAAATATAATAAAAGTAATGATGAGTACTTCGAATCGACAATGTCTTATATTCATTAGTGCATATTTATATTAGTCAAAGAATAAAGTATAATTTTTTTAAAGAAAAAATCAACTATAGCCCAACAAATCTATCATCCTTATCTATTTTTCTTAATCTAAATTCTTATCTTTTGTTTCATCTAATCATAACTATTTTAATTAAATGTATCACACTCTCTTAATTCAAAATAATTATAATTTTAAGTTGCCTTTAAAAAAAAATAAAAAAATTTATTTTATCAAAGCTTTTGTAAAGATATCGATAAGCTCATCTTTGGTGCTACTATACTCCATTCAATTTCTTCTTTATTAACTAGTTCATGAATGAAGTTAAGTCGAGCTTCTAGGTGTTTGGTACACCTGTGAAAAACAAGATTCTTCATCATTACAATAGTTGACTTATTATCGCAATAAATTTTAGTTGGTTCATATTACTTTTCTTTGAGATTTTCTAAAATTCTTCAAAAGATTACAAAATTTCTCATTATCACTACAATCATTTAAATTATAATCGAATGTTTGGGTAAGATATTAATAATGAGTAAGTACTATGTGTCTTATCGACTTCATCTCTTATAACTATTAGAATCTCAACTACTTTAAAATTCAAAACTTCTTTTTTATTAAAAATAATATCACAACTTAGGCTCAATTTCTTAGTTATAAAATTGTAAATGGAAAACCTTTTGTCTCATTGCTATATCTCACAAATATGTATTTAATATTTTTTTTTCTATACGAATATGAAAGTAAGTAACACAACCAAATATATCTGACTTTCTATTTAACTATGTCTTATAGGGTGTTCTTCCTTGTGCTGCCTTGGAAGGAAAGTTGTTTAATAAATTTACTATTATATTTACAACATTTACCCAAAACTCTTTTGATATTACTTTTTCTTTAAGCATACATCTAGTAGTCTCGATTGAAACTCGATTTTTTTTTTTGCTTTGCTACTCAATTTTGCTAAGGGGCATAGCTTGTAGTGAATTCACCTCCTTTATCGGTACGTAAAATTTTAATAAAATAATCACTTTATTTTTTTAAAACAGGGAAGGCTTATGCTTTTTTCTTTCAAAAAATATATCCATATCATTGTTTTGCAATCAACTATAAATAATATAAAATATTTACTTCCACCATATGATATAATCTGCATAAGCTTATAAATATCTGTATGCATAAGTTTTAATCATTCTTTGGTTCTTCAGGAATGACCTATATGAAAGAAATTTCTGTATTATTTTTCAAGAATACAATATTCACAAATAATATCATTATTCTTAATTTTAGACAAACCAACTATCATATTCTTCTGATTTAATAATTATAGTCCATCATAATTCAGATGATTATACCTTCTATATCATAATATTGATTCATCAATAACAATAACAGTGAATGCATATAAGGAGAAAATTTTAAAAAATAAAATAATATTTTATTTTATTATCAGCCTCTAAGTTGTTATTTTTTTTTTTAATCATAAACTAAATAAATTTTATCATAAAAAATAGTATAATATCTTTTTCTCATCAATTGTCCGATACTAATGAGATTTTATTTTTAAATTGCTAATAAATATTACATCATCAATAATTTTTTTACTAAATTTGATGTTCAAAGCAACTATTTATTTTCCATCCACCTAAACTTTACTATTATTTTTCATATGCACTGTAGATCTAATTAAATCATCAACCTTTGAGATAAACTTTTAGCCTCTATTATATGATTATTATATCTATCATCTAAGAGCTAAACAGATTTAAAATATTCTTTATCCGACGTCGTAAAGAAAAAAATATTTTCTTTATCCTCTTTTTTACTATTACTTTCTTTAAAATATTTTGCTTGATTTTATTCCAATAATCTTTTTCAAGAAAATAATATTTTTTACAGTGAAAGCAAAGAGGAATATTTGGATTTTTATTTTTGTACCAATAATCTTTTTTAATATGTCTAATTTTTTGTAACATGTTAATGTTTTTGTTAGACATATTAATAAATTTTACCAAAAATCAGACATTGTTCTTTCAATTCATTGGAGAACTTGTGACTCTTATTTGATCATTGTTCTTTCTTTTGATTTATTTTATTTGAAGAGCATATTTTGAAATTTTATTTGAAAATCTGTTCACTTTTTATTCATAAATAATATATTTGTATCTTTAGCATTTTCTATAACAATAAAAATTATATCAAAATTTGGATATTATCTCAATAAATTTTTTCTACTACTATTTGATCATTTAGGTTTTTACTATAAGATTTCATTTTCTATAACAATAAAAATTATATCAAAAGTGGAAAGTAACAATGATTTGGAAGCGAATCAATCTTCTTCCGAAAAAGACAAGGAAGCGAAATGTGATCATCGTAAGATAAGTAAGCAAATATCCGATTACTTGATGTATCTTGTGGTTTCT